AGTATTTTAAACTGTATAAAAAAAATTGAAATCAATTGTGAAAATCCATTCCTTATATAGGACGTTCCCTCCTGTTGAACTGGGCTGCATTTTTATATAGTAAATTTTCTCGATATAATGGATGTCCTAATTAGATCTCGATTTAATGGATTTTTGAAAAATTTTCACCAAGTGGCCAAATTTTGATTATTACAATTACTCGTTGGATCTTTATAATTATGAATAAATAGATAATATGAAGGAATGATTTTGATGAAAAATCATTAAAAACAGGAATGATTCTCAGTGTTATGAAAGTATCATAGGAACCTCAATTACAAACTACAACAGTTCTTTTAGATAAGCTGAAATGGCATCAAGAAACCAATAAGGAATGGGAGAAAAGAAGACGGATAATTAAACAAACTTGTAACCAAAAGAAAAAGAAAGGTTTAAAAGAATGAAATGTTCGTAAATTAAAGTTAAAACTTTGGTTTTTCAACGATAGAACTAGGAATTCAAAAGGGTATCGATCCCATGTTCATCATTTTATTAGGAGAAAGAAGGCTACGGGAACAAACACACATTGTTAGAAAAATAAATATAAAAACAAAAGATAAAGAACATTTCAAAATTTAAGGGAAGGAAGGAATTGATATAATAAAAAAATAGATTTGAAAAGGGCCTTCCCGATTTCATAGGTAATTTGGTATTATTTCTCATCTTAATAACGCTACAATTCTTGGATTCCATATATAAATCATACTTATACTTTTACTTTTACATACATAGGGTAATTAAAAAAAATTTTAATGAATGGTTCTTTCTGTAAGTTTGCTATTTAACACTTGAACCTAATGTCTTCTCAACTTGACGGTCACATGAACGAGAAAATAGTGACTAATGCCATATAAGTAAGTGACTTGCACTATATTATTTTCAAACATCATCCTTTCTGTTCTACTTTTTGTGATCGTTATTCTATTCCTCTAGATACGATAACCTTTACATATAATTAGCGAAAAAAAAACAGAGTACTTCATCTGCTGCTTAGTTGTTCAATTTGCATCGAGAAAAAAAAAGAACTGGCAGCTAAAATAATTATTTCTGAAAGTTTTATAATCTGTTGTGCTTGAATTTGAAATCTGTTTCAATTTGAAATTAACGCGCGTAAAATTCAATATTAGCCAATCAAATTTTGTATCTAAATC